TAGCATCATACTCTGATTAAGAATTGTAGACTACAAACTGAAACATATGTAGGTGTGCTTAGTCGCTGCTGCTTTCTGAATCCATCATAATACATATATATGTATAGGTAAGTGGATATACTAAAATTAATAATCCGGCACGCGATGAAGAGGACAGACTCTGATAACTAACTTCTTTAGTTTCCTCGAATCAAGAGATTATTATGAAAGATTCCGAAAATGGTTTGGGAGGCTAGCCTGAACATCTAGATTATGCTGTGCTAACTGAATAAAACTTGGGAAGGAAATCTCCAGACCTACCTCTAGAGTGAATATCGCATGCGCGTAAGGACCGTCGTTCGGAGTGAGCAGGATTTCAAGCTTGCCTCCGCAGACGGAGGATATGCTCGCTTGCTTATTGGTTGACTCCTCGATATTGATGTAGAGGCTTCGCAGGTCTTTGAGGTAGCTTCGCCCTCCTTTGCAGGCCATCACTTGTGGCGTTTTGCCCTTAAACCGCCATACAAGTAGAGTAATTTTTGCCAGAGAGTGCTTGTAGGTGCATAATAATAGTACTTAAACAGACGTTCTTTTGAGGAGGACCCATACTGATTTTATTTAATAAACGTCACTAAGTAAGGGTTATTTTAATAAATAGGGCAGTTTCGATGCCAACTTTTGCAGCGGGTGGTAGTAGTGCGGAAGACTTTGTTAACCCCTTAATGTGGTGTAAAAATGAATTACTCCTTTAGCATTGTAATGTCCCAGTTCGGTAAAAATGGTGTAGCATCACAGAGTTGCACATATGTTTGCAATAAAAATGGAAAAGTAGGTAGTTATAAACTTGAAGACACTTAAGGTCGACCAGATGACCTTATTCATCGATGATATCCAAACCCCAGAGCTGGATAACCTGTGAATTTAAAAATCTGGTCTTGAAGAATTTCAACAAACAGGCCGTCTGCCTGATCACCAAAGCGCTAATAGGTTTTCTCTAAAGGTTTTATTCTACGGTAAAACTCCGCACCACTGGCTTACAAAGTATGCACATGATCAAAATTTATCGGAAAGTAGCGCTCCGTCGATATGACTGTATGACGGAACCTGTTCGTTTTATTTTGTCCTTTATCATCATTCTTTATTGCTCTCTAGTTATTTTTCCAGCCTTGCTTAAAAAAGACCTGGTCGTTTTTGAATGTATCCTCCGAATACTCTCTTCAGCTGCCGGTGTTTCCTATGTTTCTTGGCTGAAATTATAAAACAGCGATATTTTAAAACAGTCAAGCAATTTGCTGATCGCATCCTTATTGAGGTCAACTACCTTCCCCACTCTTAACTAATGGCTGCAAAGACTTCCCGTACTACACGCCGAGGCTTCCGTCATATGTTTTGCCGTACATCGGCATATCAGCACTCTGCACTTCCATGACTAGCACGCTACCTCACGTGTGAAGAAGCG